AAAAAAAAAAAAAAAAAAAAAAGACTATAGCTATTAACTCAAAACACCTTAAACTTTACACACATTATGATTCATAATAAAGCCTGGGCACTTACACTCACTCTGAAGATCAGAGCCGGAGATTCCCAATAAAATATTTGAGCAGTAGGCTATTACCTGGCAAACGTGTTTCTTCTTTGCTTTGAGCACATAACTGAAAGAGAGTTAATAATAAGTCTTCAGATGATGGCATTAGCAAGCGTGCCTTGGCTGAGCTGAAATAGCTATATGCCATGTCACAGATGAAAGACACCGATGAGTCACTATTTTCAGCTTCTGAGAACTCCTTTGTTTTGGATAAAGTTTCATGGAGTTTAACAATAATTCTTTCAAGATACACTTCTTCAATCAAGTAATCTAGAGGAAAAAAAAAAAAAAAAAAAAAGCCCAGACAAAAATTAGAAAACATTAACTATGAATTTTTAAATACCTTACCTTTGGCTAGTAATCAGGTTGGTTAAGCAGTGTGGGCTTTTGTTAAGGTGCTCATGTATTAGGAAATAATTATATGAATAAAGCACTGTCCTCTGACACATAAAACCAAGTCCCTAGGTAAAAAGGCAGTTTTACATTAAATAAAACATAGCAGTGGTCTATAAAAATAAAACTAAGCAGCTTTGTATATTCAACAGTTTTGAATATGAAACTGAACTATTAAATATCTTCTAAGCCATACTCTAATTACCAACAAATATTCAGGATACTTATAAAATCAAGATATTTGAATGTATAAGTATTATTCTCAACCAATAATATGCAAGCTAGCAGCATGACTCTTCCTAAAAGGTGAAAAGGATTAGTCTAGTCCCAGGTTAGAAAACAAAAGCCATATTTTCCCTACCATTTTTAACATGTTGGGATAATATCAAGCTTAGAAGAGTCCACTGTTCTGAGAAGCAGGATTGTGAAGATGCTGTGGATTCCAAGTTCTTATTACAAAGACGATCTGCCAGCGCAACCAGTTTTTCTCCAAGGATATCACCTTTTAGCCAAGGAGCTACTAAAGCATGTTTATCTGAACTAGAACATGCCTAAAACCATAAAATTAAAGCAGATGTTAGAAGCAAGATCAAAAAGGTTTATCTGTCCAATTATTATACCAGATGATCTCTCCACCTTACAGCCAACACCACCCCCACTCCTCCAGGAATCTAGGAACCGAAACTGCCAACTTCACTGTTCCCATCTAAGGCTACCTTATGTTCAATTTTTATGTTCGGTTAATGTATCCTCCCTCCAACTGTAAATATCCCCCCTCTTATCAATTCCTATCCATCCTTTGAAAGTCAATGCAAGTCCCACCTGCTTTATGAAGTCTCCCCCATCCACTACAGCCCATAATGATCGCTGATTTTCTCTGATTTCTAAAGCACTTACTGGATTGTATTATTATTTAAATGTTTCGTCTGTGTATATCTTGTCTTTCCAATGAGACTGTAAGTTCCTTGAGAGTAGAGACTGTCTTAAACTTCTTTGATACCTATTAATACTGCAATATGTTCAATGATAATGAATGAACTTTGTAGATCCATACTCTACAGATATTGTTCATTAATTTTTCTAAAATTAAATTTATATATAATGGTAAATGACTTCAGTATGAACAAAAGGACTTGTCCTCCCCCAAATTCTCTGAAACAGAGTTATGGGGCTAGGAATCTGACAGCAACTTATTTATTTTCATTGAGGGTAGGGAAACGAAAAAAATCTTTCAAGTCCACCCCCAAAATGATGTTGATCCATGTTCCCAGAGCTTCTTTTGCGTTAAGGGCTGAGAAGAAAGGAATTTGCAACTTGGTTCATCTCAAAGCAATCTGGAAAAAAAAATCCAAGTGCAGATTGGGTAATGCCTGAAAAATTGCTTATTTAAAATTTATAGGTAATGAGAGCTTATCTTTTAGTCTAAACTTTACTATTAAACTAGCCTTTCGATCTTGGACAAATCTCTTAGCCAACCCAAGCCTATCTCCTAATTTGAAAAACAAAAAAGATTAACTTCCCGAAACTCTTATGGTCTTCTTGTGGTTCACAAAGTCATGTTGGTTTTTCATTTGTCCTTAAATAATCTATCTTTAGGACTCTGCTCATAAAGAAACATGATCAAGCAAGAATGCTTTAGATGGCTTTCCTTATGTAGACCACCAAAAAAAATCCATCTATTCTATAAAATTGGGGTGGAGAAAATAAGCTTCTGAATATAAGTCTCTCAAGTTAGCATGACATGAAGTCTTTCAATGCCTTAACCTATCTAATGAGAGTCCGTGCAGGTCTAAGGGACGGGCAGGCTAGTGAGTCACAGAACCCATGGCAGTATGGGAACTTCCCAACACTGCCCAGGAAAAATATACTCATCCAACCTGACAGAGACATTTATGAATTACAAGGCTGGCTGGGCAGAGAGGCGCACACCTGTAATCCCAGCACTCAGGAGGCTGAGGAAGGAGGATCATTGCGAGTTTGAGAACAGCCTGGGCTACAAAGTGATCTTAAGGCCAGCCTGAACTGCATAACATGAGCCTGTCTCAAAAAGGTAAATAAATCAATAAATAAATTATAAGGCTGAAATGGATATATCATTTACTCATCAAATTCTGGATTCCTCTGCTCTGATTCTAGGCTTATTAAACAGCCATCTGAAAATCTGGCTTTTCATGTAGTTCGCCTACAAGAGTGAAGGCACTGGATAAACTAATGTAAATGATGTGCACAGATGTGTATCTCACGGTCTAGTAAGAAGTTAGTATTCTGTACTTATTTTGACTACTAGAAGAAATGGAGAATTACTAGTTAATGAACACAGAGCTTCTATTTTGCAAGATAAGAAAGTTTTAGGGATTAGCTACATAACAAGAACACGCTTATCATCACAATACTAAACTACAATTTAGAAATAATTGTATTCTGGGAAGCTGAGGCAGGACAAAAACAAATTTCAGGCTAATGGAGATCCTTCCTGAAAATAAAAAATAAAAGGACTGCACACAGAGCCCAATGCAAAGGCCCTGGGTTCAATCCTTTGTCCTTAATACACACACGCATGCAGATGCACACATTCAAAAGGTTAGGATGGGACTAGGGCAATGGTGGTGGACCTTTCAGAGCTTCAGTGATCCACACAGCTCAGTGTGGCATGTGTGCCACATGCTCACCACCACTGGATTAGGGCATGGCTCAGAGGCAGAGTTCTTGTCTAGCATATGAAAAGCCTGTGTTCAATCTCCAAGGGAAAAAAAAGGAAATGATTAGCATGGTATATTTTATTTCACATCACATGTGCTCTACTTCTACTATAATTTTAAAATAGAAAAAAAGACAATTTCAAGAGGTGTGTGTGTGTGTGTGTGTGTGTGTGTGTGTGTGTATTTTAGGGAAAAGTCTAGAGGGTGTACAGGTTCTCACTACTAGATTGGACTCATAGTGGTCCACCTGTTTACAGCCTCCCAAGAGCTGGAATTACAGGTGTGCGCCACCATACCCAGTCTCAATTACTGTCTCAGCATGCCCCAGGGTTGGGACCAGCACAGCAGGCCTGGGGATTGAACCCCTGGACCCTGTGCCTGCTTGCAGGTGCTCTAATCCGCTGAGCTATTTGGCTGGCTTAAAAGCGGGGGTGGGGGTGTGGAGGGGTGGGGAGGGGGGGTGTTGTTTTTTTTTGGGGGGGGCGGAACCAGGGATTGAACTCAGGCTTTTGCACTTGCCAGGTAAGCACTTATTCTACTGAGCTATCTCTCTGGTCCCCAAGTTATCTTTATAAAATAAAAAGGCACCAACAAATGCTTCAAGGAGAGGAAGAACAGTACACAGCTAGTCATGAAAACATATGTATAGCAGGGAAAATGTTAGTTATATTATTTACCTCTTAATTAAGAAGCTATTTTTCTTTGGGCTTTCTTGGTGCTACTGGGTACTAAACCAGAACCTTGTCACTGAGCCACCTCCCCAAGCCCCATTTTCTTTTTCTTTTCCTTCAGATAAATCACTAAGCTGCCCAAACTGGGCTCAAATTTATGATCGTCCTGTCTCAGCCTACGACTGCTAAGATTATCACCAGACCCAGCTTCACTTTCTTATTTTAATCAAATGGCAAATCACAAAAACCCTGAAATGTTTTTATTTGCCTGCATAGTAATAAAAGCAGAGAAAACTCAGTTTCCTGATGTGTTCCAGCCAAAGCTCGAAGTTCTGTACTCAACTCACTTGTACAGGAGGTAGTGTAACTAGGATGAGAATAGAGACCTATAGCCTTAAGTAAGAGATAATAAAATGTTTAATTCTCCTCGTGTACTTGGTAGAAAGAAACCCTACATTTTCCACAGCCAGTCTCTTTTTTTCTGCTATTCTGAACAAAAAGACTACAGCATATAAATGTAAAGATAAATGTCTTTTCAAATTAGAAGAAACATTCTAATTATAAGGAAATTCTCTTAACACAGATACCTGCCTATTTGACTAATTTACTATCACAATATAACAGTAATTTTAATTTTTCTAAAGCCATGAATCCAAAGTAAAAATAAGAAAGAAAAAAACCAAAAATACCTTTTCAATAACCTGAAGAAGAGAATGCCACTCTAGGTCCTCCTGAAAGACAAGAGTTAAAATCAGCCTGTTAGAATGAAGAGAAATCTTCTAAAATGAAGTCCCAATATAACTACTACAGGGACTGGGGAGATAGCTCAGCAATCTAAGCACCTGCCTGGCAAGCACAAGCACCCAGGTTCGATTCCCGGTACCACATGCCCTGCCTGCCCCCTGAAGCCAAATGAAACTGGACATGATGGTGCACACCTGTAATCCCAGCACTGGGAGGCTGACAGGAGGATCACTACAAGTCTGAGCTGTGTAGTGAGACTCTGTAGCAAATAAATGATTTTTTTATATATCTTACAAAACTAAGATAATATTAGCTGTCCAACTCACCCTTTTATTAATAACCTCTGGCCATCTTATTACTGCTGAACATCTACCCAGAACCTCCTAAATCCCAATTGAGAATATGTTGCTTGTTCTTAAAGTGCTATTTATAGTCACAAAGTAACCCAAAATAATCCCCATGCACTTATTCTTCTCCTCTCATATTAAATAATTTGAAAGGCAGCCCACAGTAATACCTTGGTTAGGTCATCCAGGACCTCTTTTCTCTCTGCATCCCCCTCACAGCAACGGAGGGCACTATACAGAATGTCCACCAGGAAATCCGCATCCTTCTTCGGATCTTCATTTAGCCAGCGTACCAGCTTTTGGTACAGAAACTGCACTGCAGGATTCTTTTGTACAAGTTTGGTTATTTCAAGAGCTTTGGCTTTGACAGTACTCTCTTTTTCATCACCAAGGAGCATTTTAAATACTCGGCTTGAAGAGAAAGAGTCAAGCAAAAGCGAAAGAAACCTCAGATGTGGCTCTGACTTCTGTTCATTGACATAATTAATACTCATCTCTGCAAGTTTACAGACTAAGTCTTCCAAAGGTTTTTTCCGTAAAGGTGACACAACGTTTGAAGAATTATGATTGAGAAAAGATTCTGTCATAGGCTCAGGGCCTTCACTGTTCTCTCCTTCTGAAGATCCACATTTTTCATTCTCTTTGTTATCTTCTGGAGTCTCATCCGCAAATCTAACCTTATTAACTTTTTTTTTATTTGACTTCAACAGGCTATCTGGCTCCTGAAGGACCTGTAACAAGTTGGATACACCCAAAACAGACTTCACATCAGCCTCTGGCTCACTGATTTTCCTGACACAGATCTCTGACAATCCGTCCCAGAAATTTAGAAGCACGTTCTCCAAGTTATGAGTAAGTTTATCATCTTTTTCTACATCCACTTTGTCTTCCCAGGAACTTAAAGTTTCAGCTAAATGGTTAAATAGTTGCCCATGTGGTAATCCTGGGTCTCTAAGAACCGTATCAATAAAAGGAATCAGCTGAAAGAGAGGTTAAAAAAAAAACAAAACATAAAAGTCATTTTCAAGAGATAAATTTTAAATACAGTTCAACGATCATTTTCCTATGACAGTGATTTCATTACATTCCAGCTGAATTACTTTATGATGTTACCAATCGTGATCTGGTTTCCTTTGCATCTTATGGTACTATTCAAGCTTTCTGCTTTCTGTCTTAATTTGAAGCGTATCTAGATATGAGACTGTATGCCATCATGAAAGACACTTAGGGCCCATAGAATCCAGAACCCCCCCCCTTTTTTTTTTTTTGAAATTACAAAGACAAGTTAATCATCTGACACGTCAGCTAAAATCCGAGCTTCTATAGTACCGCTAGCCTCCTCCCATTGAGAACCATATACCAGAAGCTGGTCTCATCAATGAACCCGAAAACTGAGTCCAACTATGCACAAAAGATAAACAAACTCAAGTATTTATTAGTAACAAGATGATTCTTGCACCATTTAAATGTGATACTAAAGATCATAAATAGCATCCTCTAAATTCTATTTGTATTGTATCTCTCTAAAATAGTTTTTAAATCCAGATACTGGATATATTTCATCAATTGAATGCCTACCTCAGGTATCATGATATTTTACTAGCAATTGACACTACAGAATTTGTACTTGTCTGATCATAAATAAGTATTATTCAATTTGTAAATTATAATAAAATCTTTACATGGAAGGCTAACTTCTTTCTTTTTCTTTTTTTTTTTTTTTTTTTTTTGCGGAACCGGGGATTGAACTCAGACCCCTGCGCTTGCCAGGGAAGTGCTTATCCTACTGAGCCATCTCCCTGGCCCACGAAGGCTAACTTCTAAAAATGGCTGTAAGATACAACTAAGTGTTCTTTCCAGCCAGTGGACTGATGCACTCACCTGACCGCTGACGAGCATCTGTTCCATCTCTTGCTCACCCAAGTTTTGCTGCATTATAAAACGTAAGCACTCAAAGAAAGCAGCTATTACTGCAGAGCACTCTGAAAAGCTGGTTTTGATTCTCTCTGTTGACAACCTATGAAACAATAAATAATTATGGACTATTCTTTCAGGATGAGATAACTCAAAACCACCAAAATAAAGACAGCATCAAAAGATGATGTTTTAAAGATAAAACTCTTAAACTAAAAATTAAGAACCAAAATTGATACAACCAATGAGAATACAAGCCTAAAAAAATTATGAAAAAACAAACTTGTAACCCTGTATTCACAAAACATATTCATTTTCCGCTCACAAATCAACCCACCTACAAATTTGAAAGCTAGGACATAACCAAAGGAAAAATAATATGGTTTAAAACAGTAATCATTAATGAATGAAATATTTTGATTAATTTCAACAAATGCAGTGAAACAATTTTTTGTAAGTATTAATTTAAATAGTTAATATAAATGCTTAACTTTAGTGACCTTAAAAAAAATTTCACTGGCTCTTTTTCTGCATTGGGCATTTGCATCTACCAACATCTGTAAGCTTAGCCATATCTAACTTTATGCCAGGAACTACTAGGACAAAGACGCGAAATGATTTAAGGACAGGATTCTGAGCTAGGCACAGTCCACAGGGCTCGTAAATCCCTGCTGCTCAGGAGGTAAAGGCAGGAGAATCATTCCAACCTAAAACACAAGACTAGTCTGGGAACCAAGGGACAGAGGAAACGACAGGGACAGGGAAAAAGGGAGGGAGAGAGGGAGGAATCTACATTTCTCCAAAAACTTTAAGTGTTTAATAAACAGAAAATAATATGGAGAAATTCAAGTAGGAAAGAAAATGATGAGAATGAAAATAAGAAACTATCTTTTGCTTTGAAAATCAAGAATTTAAATTCCTTACCCTGCAACCAGAGAGGTGAGAAAATTTTTGAAGAAATCCAACTTTGGATCTGTAATGGACTGAGGGAGTTTGCTAATAAATGGCAGAAGATAAGGATATATGACAGCAGCTAAGCCCCGACCACCTTCACGAATCACAGTTGACAGCTTAGGAAACACGCTTTTTTTTGCATTTACATGAAGCCAACAGTCCTACCCAAAGAAAAGATCAAAACAGTAATTAGAAGTCGTGAACACACTTTCCCAGTTAAGAGAAACAAAGACACATAGGCTTTCAAGCATAAAAAATCAAGTATTTTACTAAAAAGGATAAAATCTGTCATCAAAATACATGTATTACATATGATAATCACATATTCCATATGGTTATAAAATTAAAGTGATGAGAAATTATTTAATGTAAAAGA